TTTAAACAGTAACTACTAAACTATTAAATTATGTTATGTGATAAAGATTTCTATTGTGAAAAAGCATCTTTCCCACTACGATGAGATTTTAGGTAAAATGAGATGAGATAAATGATTTTAATATATATTGTGTCAAATAGGAGCAGTTTTAATTCTCTACCCTGATATAGTGTTATAGCAAATCATTGGCTAATCCCAAGTTTTGTCTCTAAATTCGTGGCTAGGCTAGGAGGCTACTGGCTCCCACTCCAGAGCTCCCACTTCCTTTCACCTGAAGGCTAACTCTCGCTTTAGTTTTTAAACTTTAAGACTGAATTGAAGATTTTAGTCTGTCACCCTAAAATCTCCAATTCTACACCCAATAATATATATTTCCCTATTTATTTTCACTTAATTCCATGAACAAAATTCTCCTTCATGGAATCAAATGTGATCCTCACTCTGTTGTAGAACTCATACTAAATTTCTAGGATCATATGTTTCACAACAAATTATAGCAATTCAATTGGTCAGATCAAAAAGTAAATTAAGTTCGAAGTTGAAAATTATCACAATTTATTTTATATTTTAACATTGACACATCCATATTATCTCTTCATTTCACCATATTTTAGAGTGAGGAGAAAGATAAATGAAACTACTCAGACTTCATGAGAAAGGTACAACAAAACACAAATTTCATATATAAAAGAAAGTTCATACAATAATAAATAAACAAACAACACTTATCTGAAACTCTTTCTCAAAGTAAATCTCTTATAGCCCTTCCTAAGAAATGTAGGAAGAAGAACTCTCTCACTCTTCTCCTTCTCCAACACTCTTAAAGAAAAATTCACATTTAATCTCAACACAAAAACTCTAAATTCTTAAAGAAAAATCATTAATAGACTCCAAAATGGTGGTGGAATGAGGATAAAAAAGTGTATGATATGTAAGAGAATGTATGGTGGTGAGGAATAACAAAAAGGAGTGCCTTTTCTAATCAATTTCGACCCTAAATAGAGCCTAGGGTCAGTTCTCCAATCGATGCATCCAAAATAAAAAACTCTTCAAAAAGCGTCTAAATTTGTCGAATCTTCTAGAAATAGAGCCTGCACCGACACTGGGGTCTGAACTGCACTGGCATCGTGGTCCGTAATTTAATTTCCTATTCTTTGTCAAATGGCACCTTCAGCACCCAGTCTAGCGCCGTCGGCACTGAACAAATTTTTAACTTCTCCATTTTTGCTCCAAATTTCATCCTTTTGCTTCATTTTTGCTCGAAGTTCCAAAATTCAACAACCTGCAAGAAAATATTAAAAATACATTCAATTAAAGTGCAATATCACCAAAAATAATAAAATATGGGTCTAAAAATACATATATTTTTAGTGTATCATCCTACTGTTTGAAATTCTTGAAGATAATATCCCCTGATTTTTATCGAGAGTTTTCTTAGGTGACTTCGGTTATCTAAGATGTAATTAATTATTGGGCCTTGTCCTTATAGGAAACTTTCAAGAACCCATCTTAATATAAACTTTATTTAATTTTCTGTATTAAATAGTGAAATTTGTCAGTCAACATAAAAATGGTTTTTCGCATACTTAAACGGATGTCATAAATTCTTTATTTAATCAAGTCTTACTAGTAAGTGGTGTGTCTGCCCTTCGGGATAGATGCATTGCTTATGGTATTAAACTGATTTATTTAAACTACTGAGGAAATTAGATCGATTCGGTCATGTATTTTTAAAATTTAAAATACTACTTTTTCCAAATATATTTAAATATATAAATTAAACGGGTGTCAGGATATCCATTCCGGCAACCGACATTTTCCAATTTGACGTCCGACAACAATGATAGTAGTGGAGTGTAGAAAATGATAAAATGCCAATTGAAATGTGGCTAGTGACAAATATGAGCAATTATCTTCTTTACCCTCTCCCGGGTATATAAAGAAGTTTGGTTAAAGTGACCTTAATTCTTTAAGCCCCACTTTGAACCCAGCAACGATTATCTCGCTATTTATTTGCATCTCCTTATAGTGTACTTTTGCTTCATACCCTATAGTTAAATGTGACATTTCTAGTTGTTCATGTCATAGCTCTGCTGAGTCATTATGGGTTTAGAATGGATTTTAATAAATCATTTGACCAAAATTATAGGTAAATGAAAAGTTGAAGGAAAATCATCACATTAGAAGATTAAAGAAAATTTAAAATCATTTCCACATTCCTCAAAATACTATTACATCGCCACAAGGAAAAGGCCGAGGAGATTACTCATAAAACATAGAGAAAACACCACAAGTCTTCATTGAAACAAAGAGAATCCACATGTCAAAGTGTTTATAGAAAAATAAAATACTTATGCACAATAATACTTATCTTTCTTTCTCTCAATACTGCCTTGAGAATGCTCCACAAATGCCCTTGCTACTTTCCTGTATACTTTCCTCACTTTAGCACTCAGTTCCTCACCAATTGTCTACTCTAGACTTACTCTCTCTAGCCTAGAACAAGCCTTCCACCTAAGGTTATCTCTTTCACGTTCAGTGGAACATCCTTTCCTTCCTCTCCATAAGCTCTCTGTAACACTCTCAAAACTCTCCCAAAAAAAAAATCTCTGTCCAAGTCTTCAAGTCTTCATTAAATAGCCTTCAACATCCTTGGTTCAAATTGCTTCTAGTCCACCCAAACGACGCTTTGAACAGGTTGGTTGAACTTTTGTAACTGCACAAGTTTGGTTCTTACGCCTAGGCGCCGATCTTTTCTAGCATCAAGGCCTTGGCTTCCACATCTGAGGCCTTGGTGCCCAGTAACTGGCGCTAAGGTGTCGACCTTTCGGTTGCTTGGATTGGGGGCTCGCGACTAGATACCCCAAAAGTCTAGCGTCATGACCCTAGCTCACTGTATAGCCTTTTTCTCTATATCAACTCATTGATCCAATGAGCTCTTCTATCGAGCTCATTCAGCAAGCATTTCTAAGGTCCCAAATAACCCTCAAGTATCAACCATGATTAAAAAAGAGACGTATGTCCCTGTCCACATCATCACAGTCTTTCATCCAAATCATCGCCATCTTTTGTCAGCACTTCATTTACAGACCTAGACCAAGTAATGTAATAAAATAATTTAATATTATATCTTTGTATCTCGATAGAAAGGAGAAGCGATTTGAATTCATATAAATAAGGCTTTCCTGCCATCTAATGAGGACTTTAAGGGTCTTTTTATCCCTATTTTTTCTTCCATTCTTCTCGGAGATTAAAGGTGAGCAGTTGAAGAGCATACATCGTCCTTCTTGGTCGTATGAGGCCAGGAATAATATGGGAACCGACGTCCTAAGAAATTCAAAATTAAAGTTTAAATGCTAGATATGTAAATGCATTAGTAATTAGGTGCTATGTATGTAACTTTCCTATTTCACAGTTTTTATTTTCATATATCTCAAATTATATTTTGATTTTTTGGAATTGTCTTCTCATTATATTTTATTATACTCACTTTGTTGAGAAATTATTGCGTACGGTGTCCGATCCTGACTATTTTAAATTTTTTTTTTTAAAATTTTTAAGTTGGGCCTACCGAAATACATTCTGACCGTAGATCACCTGATTTACGATCAGAATCGTACACCGCATGCATCCGTCCGTATGGAATAATTTTTCCACTTTGTTTCACATATCTCCTCTTATTTTAGCGGTTGCTCTAACCTACCTCTTTCTACTGCAGTTGGTAATTATTTGAATTTTTCAGTCTTTAATTGTTCTGAAGTTATGCTCCTATCATTTTAAAAGAAAAGCCGTACAAGTGTGCTCAAACGTTATTATGTACTTGACTGTGATTAATCATCCACACCTAGCAATTAATAGTAAGTCCCGCCTACTCTAAAGCACCAGATCCCGGCATCCATATATGGTCCCCTCCTATCTGTGTTCCATCAACAGAGCATAAGAATGTTTTCCGGCAAAATGAATCCTCTAATGCTCCTCGTCCTCGTCCTAATCTCTTATTACAACTTGCCGGAGACAGTGCGTTCCTCGCCGGCGTGCACTTTTCCGGCCATCATTAACTTCGGCGACTCCAACTCTGACACCGGAGGATTTTCGGCGACCTTCGGCCCAACTCCAGCCCCCAATGGCGAGACCTTCTTTCGAATGCCGGCCGGCCGATTTTCCGACGGCCGTCTCATCATCGATTTTATCGGTTCATTTCTTAAACCTCCTTTTCATCTCTGCTTCGGCGGTATTTTGAATTTAATTTGAATTTTTTTTTATATTTAGCTGGATTTGCCTTAAATTCATAGATAAATCTCATTTAAATAACTCTACCTAATTCAAATATAAAATAAAAAATGAATTATTTTTCTGAAATTTAATCAGCGGAGAGATTTGGGCTTCCTTTCCTGAGCTCTTACCTGGACTCGCTGGGCGCAAATTACAGTCATGGAGTTAACTTCGCCTCTGTGTCTTCCACCATGATAGATCAAAATATCTCTCTTTCTCAAGGTGGCTATAGTCCCTTCTATCTAACCATACAGGTTATGCAGTTCTCTCAGTTCATTCCCAGGTCTCAACTATTCGCCAAGCGAGGCAAGTATAATTATCTGCACTTTTTTTCTTAAGAAGTTTTGATAATTTTTGCTAAACAAGTAATTGATGGTCCACTATGAATATATAACAAATATTTTCAATTTCAAGAAGAATGCTCTTTAAATTCTTATTTGTAGAATTTTGATTCAAACCCACATAATATTCTCCCCTAAAATTGGGAATTTATTGTTACATACCAACCGCCCAAATATTCAATAACGTATTTTAATCATCTAATTTAAAAAATATATATATTTGAATTATTTTCTTATTACAATTTCTCTTCATTGATCATTAGTGAAAACTTCCAATGAAAATTTTGAGTTGTCAAAATATTATATTTAAATTTTTGTGAGATTTGAATATTGGATTAAATATGTTCTATGATTAATATATATAGTTTTCCCTGCAGGATGGTTCTTCAATTCCACAATGCCAAGAAAGGAATACTTCAATCAAGCATTGTATACAATCGACATCGGACAGAATGATCTCACAGCCGGCCTGCTCGCTGGAAAAACCTCCGATGAGTTCATCCCACAAACGATAGAGGTCTTCTCCGGCGAAGTTAAGAGGATATATAACATGGGGGGAAGGTATTTCTGGATTCACAACACGGGTCCATTGGGTTGCCTCGCTTACGTCCTGGTCGGCCAAAACAACACAACCGCTGGTGAGTTGGACGCGGCGGGCTGTGCTGTCATTTACAACAAGGCGGCACAGGAGTTCAACGTAAAGCTCAATGAAACATTAGTGAAAATGAGGAAGGAGCTGCCCCATGCGGTTATCACCTACGTGGATATTTATTCTGCCAAGTACTCTCTCTTTCTGGAACCCGCCAAGTACGGTATGTTTAGTCTCGAAGTTGTTGTTATTTCATCAGAAAAATAATTACCTAAAATATTTTATAAAATATTAAAAATTAATACATAATTTAAAAGAAATGAATATTTTCATGCATATTATTTAATTCTTATATATTTACCTATTGAATGTCTAAATTTCAATTTTTACATATATTTGTCATTTTGTCTATCCGTATAATTTCAGTAATATTAAACATGACCTCGACAGATTCATCCCATCTACGATCGACATAACTTGGTCGGTGTATTAATAATGACAACACTTATAATTTTTGCGGGTATGTGATTTGGTGAAAGATGCAAATCACAATTCAGTGTATGAAGCATCAAAATGCATAAATATATATTAGCTATATATTTTATAATTTTGAATATAAAATTGCACATTTTTATGTACGTACTTTAAGAAATAAAATACATACATGTTGTTGAATTTAAATCTCTCATAAGAGACATGCCCCATGATCAAAGTGGTAGAAACCAGAGAAGTGAGAGATAGAGTGATAAAGAGAGAGGAAAATCACACACAAACTTGCCTCGTCATGGAGAACTAGAGTATTCTCACTCTCTAGGACACGTTTTATATAAAAAAGATAGAGTACATTGATGGGAAGGAGGGAGGAGCTCTCTCTAAAATTTGGGTCTATATTTGAGAGCAAAAAAACATCTATATAAGTTTTGGACTCTCTATTTATAAAAGTTAGAGGGCTACTAAGATATAAATCACACGTCAGCCCATGCTTTAATGAGAGAGTTACAGGGTATTTTAGTCTTTTCATGTTTGATAACTGCTTAGCATCGTTTGATGTTTCTGGATTCTCTGCCCGACGGATTCCTCCATCGATGAGCTGAAATGTCATTGAACGATCATTCCGTCTGGATGTCAGGCGACCATTTTGTTTGAAGGTTGTTTGTCTTTGAATATTGAGGGTAGTCGGATCTCAATGGCCAACCAAGATTGACCAGTCAGTTAGCTCTAGGCGGTCAGCCTAAGATGACATGTTAGTTACTTAAGGCGATGGCCAGCCATAGATGCCTGATCTGCCTTTTGCGAACCACCAGCTAAAATTGCTTAGTGGAATGTCCAACTTCAGCTAGTTTGTTGAAGAGTCACAAGTTTTCACATTTTCTACCAAACCTGCTTGATTCCTTTCGATCGGCTAGGGTGGCCTTTGATCGGTCAATTTCAGGCAACCCAACTGACTATGAGATCTCCTGCTAAACGTTTAACAATTGATTTGGTTCATCAAAATGCTTCAAGATATGTGTAGGCCATTTTGGGTGTATGTATCAAGATCTCAATTTTCTTGCTGCTTGAAAGTAACAACTGCAACAAGGACAGTAAAATTTTAAAATATAAATATACAAATCTTATAATAATCTTTATTTAATTCCATAAATAAAATCTTTAGATTTTCGTGCCCATGACCCTATATAAAAGGCGTTAGAGAGGCAACTTCATCATCTTGAGCCTGTTCCTTATCTTGGTTTTGCTCATCGTTTGTTGTTCCTTTATGGAAAAAGGATTCAACCCCAAGCTAAAACCTATTGAAAAAGCTAGAATGATATCCACTCTCGGAATTAGATCACGTCGACCCAGCGGTTAACCTTCTAGGAAAAAATTGGCCAAGAAGCCAAAACCGATCCAAGTAGTGAGAATGGAAGAGTTATTTGATTTGATTTGCGATATTTCGGGTAAAATTTTGCCCAAGACTGGAGTGGAGTAGAGTGCCTCAGCAACGGACCCACTAAAAAAAACTTCCTCTGAGCCGCAAATTGAATTGAATGTTGCGAACGTTTTCTTTCAGGCTGATACTTAATGTGTAAGCAAAGATGATCCCATGGTTGGCGAGAAGAGGTCGACAAATGATTTTCCATTCTATAACGTGGGCGGAACAAACTTGTTCGAATTAAATCGAATTATGTGTAATTTTTTTTTTCTTTTCTTCTATTTGAGTAGCGGGATGTTTATTGAAAACTGTTTTTTTCATAGATTTGGATCCTCATTCTGAACAATTGCCAGTCGACATTGATAGTGGAAACCCAATTCTGGGACAAATCTTGCTCATCAGCTACTGACCGATAGCGAAGAGGATGTGGTCAATCGCTCTATCAAATCTGACGAGGCCCTGGATAAAAGTTCTGAGAAACATTGGTTGTCCCCCATGACTTTAACATGTTTTCTAGAAGAATTGGAGAAGATTGTGACCCAGTAGGACCGGGCCATGAAAGTCAAACTGAAGGAAATAGGCAAGTAAATAGTCGGTCTTCGCCGAGAGAACGCTAAACTCCGAGAGGGCACATTCATTCAAAGGGTCAAATCTAATGTTGACTAAGTGAATCAATTTAAGCTCAGTACTCAAACATTGTTTAGGAGGATGTTCAGGAGGGAATTAGTCTCGGTTGAGGCAATAACTTGTGAAATATCCAATGTCAGACTAAGTCCATGCGTAATTAAATTTTTGTGAAAAAACATTATGTTTTTTGTAATTCCCTGTGTTTGTGTTTAACATGGAATTTTCTCAATTTCTACAAGTAGCAATTGAGCTTCCATTGAATTCTTATAAATTGGGGTTTAAGGAACCCATGAGTGTGCTTTCAATCCATTTCTAATTCCTTCATTCTCCTTCAGTATTTGGTTCTTTGTCATTCATTTCTTCAATATTCTGATGGCTCTGAAGAGGACTCCATATACCTTAAGTCTAGTGATTTTGGCTAAACACTTCATTCAATCACCGTCAGACGTCGCTTTCATTGAAGAAACTTTTATTTTTCATTCTGCCATCATCTTGAGAGTCCCCCCCTTCGGATGAAAGGGAGATGGATGATACGTGGATGACTTGGTGGTGTATAAGAACCAATTCCTATGTGGGTTGTGGCTGCATTCGTGCCACGAGCTTTGAGCGACCGGTACAGGATTTTCCTAGTGCAGATTAATCCAAACTTTGTGGCAGAGATCATGACCTACATCATCTTCTACTAACGAAAGTACATTCCTTGGTCCACCAATTTTTCTAGTCATATGTTCTAATTTTGTGTGAAATTGAACGACAATTTATGATTCGGAACAACACGTCAGTTCAAGTTTACCACCCCTAAAGAATTTGCAATCATGTACTCTAGTTTTGAAGGATCATCTGGGAACGATCCAGATGTTGAAAACAAACTGGTCTCTTCTAATGAGTTTCTTGAAGCTTAGTTTTTTTCTCTTGGAAGTTTTTTTTTTAAAATTTTTTTACATAGACAAATTTTTGACAAATATTTGTAAACATGGAAATTCGGTAAATATGAAAATTATTTACTTTTCTTTTATAATGAATTGAAGCCGCTCGGTTATATTTTATAGATTTTGATTTTTGCCTTTACCATACCTTTACAAAGGTTTGCATGATAGTACAATTTTCTTGCAATTGAGGCTTCCTAATAATATGTAGTCTTCGAGTTTACATGATTGTTGACAGCGACTTTATATATGCAATAAAATATAAGATAAATATGGACGTATTAAATATTCAATAATTGTAAAGTCACACTTATCAACGCAAGTATATATATCGCTCAAGTAATATATGGCTCTAATGGAGTCCTAGATATCGATCCCACAGGGAGTATTTTAGAATTACGGAGTAAGACCTTAGAAAAGCAATACTTTAATCACAACAACGACGTTCAATTTGCTTATCTGTCACTAATAGGCAATTGAAATAAATAGATAATTTTAATAACTAATAAATAACTAATGATATAAAGTAGGGTTTAATTGTGATATTCAATATATAAGAAAACATCATTCTCTTTGTCAAGAAATTATAGTGAATGAATAAAATGAATTAGTTCAATTTATATTGTGC